AAAATTTCAAACCTTAGGGAACAAAACAGACCCAAGGTGTTCACAGTACAGTGTTTAGAGATAAACTCAAAACTTGATGTGACCTCATACCTCTCAATTTCCTCTGCTGTTCAAGATGATAAATTCACTTACCTTGTGCATTCTGTGTGATGATTAAATGATTTAGCCTATATAAATTACTTACCATACTGTGTGGCAGAAAATATTTTAATGACTACAACCCTCTAACTATTAGTGCTTTCTTACTACATTCTGGTACACCAAGATCATTTTTTCTCTGCTGTTGAAGGAAAAGAGTGGAAAGGAAGCAACCTTTTTCAATTCCTTGCTCCAATGGTTCAACTTCCTGAGTTAAACATACACAGAAGCTCTGATCCTTCAGTTGCTATGGTTTCATCATGAGCATGGGACTCACTATCAGGGGTCTAATCAGTTTGAGACCTTCACCTTCATGGCTGGGTACCCAAGCATTTAGTGTTCAACTCAACACCTAGTAATGTTTAATCCTGGTGCTTGGGATATGGGGGCTCAGCCCACTCAAGTATTAAGACCAAAGTATATAACTTCAGTCGCTACCAAGACTCTCCTACCTGCTATTTGCTGCACCATGAGGACCGCTAAACTGGGATTTCTTCTAGGGCTCTTCATCTTCTGCTTACAAACTGCCTCCTTATTGGGTGGTGTTGCCAAAGTTGCTGAATATTTCTGTGGACATGTAAAAGGTATGAGGTTAAGGGATAAAAGAAACCCAAAGACCAGTTATGAATGAGTAAAAAAGTGATAGAGTCTGCCATTGACCTGAGCCAGAAACATCCTTTTCTGTAGCACTTCTCATAGACCCTTAATCATTTGACTCAAGGTGCTAACATAGTACTCTGGATATTTGATGGAAAGGGAGAAAAAGAAGACATGGGGCAAATATTTGTAGAGAGTTATTTTGAAAAAAGATCTGAAGGGGCCGGGGAGATGGCTCCAGAGAACAAGTGCTTCTTGGGCAAGCGCAAGGGCCTGAGTCCAATCAATGGGAAAAAAAAAGAAAGAAAGAAAGAAGAAAGAAAGAAAGAAAGAAAGAAAGAAAGAAAGAAAGAAAGAAAGAAAAAGAAAGGAAGGACATGATGTTTAACATATCAATACTTGATGGCAAATACCTGCTCCATGTTATGCCTAAGATGTTTCATATTCAGAAAGATAGTGAAGTTAAGCCCAACTGCATATGTTGTAGGGTAATAATAAGGTTCTCTTGTGGAGGGTTAACAACCTAAGTTTGCAGACCAAAAATTGGGGAAATAGAGGGGCTGCAAAGACAGCCAATGTTTTGACCATAGCCTTTCAAGGTCAGTGAAGACTCAGGATATAGGAGAACTTATACTGTAACATCCTGTAACTCAGTTGTGTCCCAAATTTTCTGATCAAGAAGATTATGCAGCCACAGAGCAATGTGATTGATACTGTAGAGTGTGCCTAAGGAGAGTCACATGGAGAAAAAACATTTTCTCAGGCTTTCACAGAGAGCAAATTGGTCAAGCAATGGCTGTGACTCATCCTCATGGCTGACACTGACAAAGAATCTACAAAGTGTGGCACAGGGCTTCAGGATAAATCCTGAGGGTACTTGACTGACCTTATCAGATACAAAAGTTACATTTCTTGTTATATAAGTCTTGCTTTATCTTGGTCTTAACCATCTAGCAGAAAAGTATAAAAATGAGGTATATAAAGTATGGGGCTGGTGAGATGGCTCAGTGGTCTAAAGCACCTACTTAGAACAAGCTTAGCAAAGCCCAGGGACCATGGTTCAATCCCCCAGCAC